AACAATGTTAAATTTGAACCTTTTTTATATTTATAAAAATTTAATTTTTATATATAAAATTTATATTTTCAATAGTCTAACAAGACTAATTTATAATAATAAAATATAAAACTAGTCTGTAATACAATAACAATGATATTAATAATGACAATGTAATAAACATGTAATAAACATCTTTTCAGTAGATTTAATTGCTTTTAATGAAACTTTTACTTTGTTTTACACCACTACATTAAACAAAACAGCAAAAGAGTTTATAAAACAAAATTTTAATAAATAAAAAAAAGTTATGCAAAACACTTCCCCTAATCTAGCAAACAAATGGGCCACAACACCACCAGAAATGACTAACTTCACCTTGAGCTAATATCCCTCAAAGAAGGTCAACGTTACAGCATTTTCAGCATTTCTAACCTACATTCTCATGAGTTTACAGGTCCTGACCTAGTTTACTGTTGCTGATGCGTTTCTGTTCCACTTGTCCTTTCAGAGCTCGAACCCTGCGCAGTTTGGCCTCCTGGTTCTCTGCATTCTCCCGCAGCAGTCGCAGTTTCTCCTGCTCAGACACCTGCTGCTGCTGCTGCCGCTGGTCCTGCAGCTTCAGGAAGTGCAGTCGCTGTTCCTGTGAGGAGGCGTCGCAATCTCAACAAAAACTAATTTTCAGACATCATTAAGTTTCAGAACTATGTGCCTACTGTTTTCATTCACGCTGATAATGGACAAAACGATAATGGTTTTGATATGGAGATGACTCCATGCAGTTGTTTATTCTAATGACCTTAATGCAAAACTTAGTGCGCAAGCAATAACACCATTTCACAGATGACTTCAAACCTGGTATTTGAAAGAAATGTTGATTTCAACTAACAAACAGGAAATGCTGCTCTTTCCATTTAATTAAAGTGGATGGGGACCAAGGACAGCCTTAGTTGCCATTCATTTCTATTGTATGGAAAAGAGCAGCATGGGCATTCTGCTGAATATCTCCTTTTGTGTTCAACGGAAGAATAAATTACATTAATTTTGACACAGTTATTTAAAAAAATTAATTGAACAGTACATTATGTCAATGGCGCAGTAGGCTACCTTTGTGGCCAGGAGTTGTTGTTGTGCGTTGATCTGTTGTTGTTGCCGTGATGCCATCTCTTGCAATTCGCTGAGAGTAATGTCCATATGAGGAGCTGCCATCTAAAAAATAAATAAATAAATATATATATATCAGAGCTTTTGTTATTTTATATTGGATGGCTATGAAGAATCTGTATGTTTGGACATTTTATAAGGTAATTTTAAAGGAATTTAATATGGTAAAACTTAGTTGTCGGGTCACTTACATGCAGTTATACGTGTTATTCTGTTTTCTTTTTGAAATCTTTACATGAATCTCGCGTGTTGTGGATCAAACTATGAGTCGACCCTCATTCTGAAAGTTTGATTTACAGTCTGTTTTTAATCATGTCTTGTTTGGTTCGATTGAATCAAACTCAAGTTCGTTTCCCTTTTGGCGCGGATCTTTTGGGCAGGTGTGAATACAGCAATCGCACTCGGGTGCGCACCAAACAACCATAGAGGTGGTCTCGGTCCGCTTCCAAACAAACGGTTGAATGGATGAACCAATGAATGGATGACCTTAAGCACACGTGTGGTTTTGTTTACAGTTTCTGGTTCACTTGCAAAAAGGGCAGTGTGAAAGCGAACCGCACCAAACATAAAAAAATCAACATTGTTTTTGGTTCGGACCAAAGCAAGTGAACTAGCGGACTTTCCTGGTGTGAATACACCCAAACGTTTCTTTAAACTGTAAGATAAATATGCTTTGCAACGTCACAATTATTTCCAGTCCATCTAACTTTGTGTACATTTTACAGAAAATTTCAAATTCAGGACTGAAATAGCAACAGTAAAGTACCAATAATAACATAAATTAAAGCTGCAAGCAGCGATGAACGGGCCCTCGCACCCGGGCTCACCGCCAGCGGGCGGCTTTAGTAAAACAGTCAACGGCGAGCAATATGGATTTAAAGTGGTCAATATAGGAGGAATATGTCAAAGTCATTTATATGTGGCAATCTTCCTGCTGCCAGCTGGTGGCGCTATGACTGTAATCGAATATGAGTATGTAGATGTCTTCAGGCCAGGACTCTAATCAAACATGTGAAGTTTGAGGCAGATTGGACACTGCATGCTTGAGTTACATCAACTTCCTCTTTCACTGCATTAATAGCATGCTTTAGCACTTAGCTAAGTGTTGCTAGCATGTTTGAGCATATTTCTAGCATGTTTAGCACACAAAGCCATATTTTTACTGTGTTGCTAATAGTGCATATAAAATAATAAAATAAGATAAATAAATAACAAAGGGTATTTATGGGTTAAAACTAATACGCAAAACAAAAAAAATTACTTGAAGTTGTGTGAGGTTTTATATACACTTAATTGTTTTATACATATCGGATACATAGTTTTAATTACAATAAATAAATAAGCATAAATAATAATAATAATGATGTAAAAATATAATATAAAACCAAATAAAAAAATGTAATAATACTATAACTTACATAAGAATAGCATAATACTATAACTTACATAAAAATAGCAAATAAAACGTTGTTTCTGGGTAACTTGTATGCAGTTATGCATGTTATTCTGTTCACTTTTCAAAATCTTTAAATACATTCCGAGTGCTGTGGATTAAAGTGCGAGTTGATTCTCATTCCCAAAGTCTGATTTCCAGTCTCCTCAGTTTTTAATCATGTTAAGACATGACAATTTATTTAAATTATAAAATGATAAAATAATGATTTGCAGTGTCACAATTCATTACAGTCCATGTAAAAATACTGTCTATTAAATATTTTTATTTGCACAGCTTACTGACAATTTCCAATTCAAGCCTAAGGTAGCAACAGTATCCAAGGGGGCAGAACTTATCAATTCTCTGAAGGGAATTCATACTCACTCCATTTTCCATGTGTCTGTCTATCGTCCCCTTCACCGCGTTTCTTCTGGCAAGAGACTCTGGAGCCCTGTGACCTCCTGTAGTTAGAGACAGAATTAGTGGTGTTGGCTAAGCTAAACACATTATCGCTTATTTTAGGATTAGGGATTTGTATTAAACTTTGACAAATAATTAGTCAAGCACATTTTGTGTTAAAAACACAAATGATACCTTAAGTCATGTGGCTTTTTGAGGAGAAGTTTATATTTAGACTTTGACTCAAAGTTCAACAGTTAGTATTTAGCAAACTAGCATGTAAACATGCTAACAATGAAGACCAGGAACATTTAGGTTGAAAAAGAGTTGCTGTGCTGGGGTAAACCTCATTACATAATGACTGTTTGGCTGGGGAAAACAACTAGTGCTCAATTATCCTGCATATGACTGCCTGTGCCAGGGTCCCACTTACATAACATCAACACTGGCACCGCTAGCGCTGCTTATGTGGGTTACTGGATAAACCAGTCTAAGAGCGAAACAATGCCCAAATAATGTTCTTGGTCACAGTCTGACACCACAGGGGTCCTAATCAGAGCTTACTGATTACACAAGCATAAGGTTTTACCTCAATTCTGTGTGAAAACAAACCACAAACACAACAGATACGAGTCAAACTGCGTGTAATTGACATAATTATTCTCGACAGAGAAATAAGGAACTCTTTGTGAGGTAAAGCCAGGCGTACAGAGCCGATATCACTCGCATTGTTGTGTAACAGTCGGTCTTTGTCCGGTGAAGAGGGCCAAAGTCACTCTGAGAAATCTGAAACCTCACACATGGTTTCACATGACTGAGATGTGTAAACTTCTCGGGGGAATAGGGAGGATTCACTTCAAACACGCCGTGTAAACAAACTAGTAGAAATTGCGTCAAAGGGGATTTAAGAGTTAAAAATAACATGCAAAACAACTGACGAAAAACTACTTTAAAGCTGTGTGAGATTTTATATATTACACATTTTGATTTCTGATTACAAATAAATAAATAAATAAATAACCAAATGAAAATTCTGTGTTACCATAACTTGCAGAATAATAGCAAATAAAAATATAAATAAATAAATCAGTTGTGTGAGATTTTAAATATGTATTATATGTTTTAATACACACACATATATATACATATATATATATATATATATATTTAATTGTAAAAAAACATTACAATATAATAGAATTATCACGGAACGTGGTTGTAGCAATAGCGCACGATGATGGAGTAAACATAAATAGTCCTTAATTCCAACTTCAAAACAAAAGGCCAGGAGAATAACCAGGAGAACTAATCCACATCAACTCACACAATCCATTTCATAAACATCAATCCAGGACGATGAGAGGACAGAAACTGAAGGCTTATAAAGACAGGCAAACAAAAGGAGCAAACGAGATGATTAACAAGGTGACGTAGAAAACACAGGTGAACAGAATGAACTAATCAGGGCAACTACACTCTAAAAAATGGGTTATTTTTTTTAACCCAAATGCTGGGTTGAGCTTTTTGGGTAATTTTTTGGGGTTATTTTTTCAGTGTTTGGGTAGTTTTTGTGTTACCCAGCTTCTGGGCCAAATGTAACAACCCAGTGTTTGGGTTGTTTTGCAGCTCCTGGGTCAGACATAACAACCCAATGTTTGGGTAGTTTTTGTGTTACTCAGATCCAGGGTCAGACGTAACCCAGCGGTTGAGTTATTTATCGCGGGGATTTTGCGTCTTCAGATCTTTTCACGAGAGAGCAGTTCTAAGTGCCATCGAATTGATGCATTCTTCGGTAAAATACAGGTTTGTATACATTTTATTTTATCTATAAAATCGTTACTGTGCTGTATATCGTTCAATTTTATGCAGAGCAGCAACATACAGGCGCGCGGCGTGAATCACCTTTAACGAGTGTCTGCGGTCTTTTCTCATGATGGAAAAGCCTGATGCTTTGCATAAAATAAACGATTTTATTCATAAACATACAGAATATAATACTTTGGATGTTAAAACATGTCCTTAGAGCTGTTTATTGTTTGTTTATTGGCAGGTTATGGAGTCACCGCATGTTTCGGCTAGAGTGAAACGCAGGGCGGCGGTCCGTTAGCAGTTCCCCGCCGAGCATGACTCCAGCTCGGGCATGAGAACCAGCGCCGTTACGGTGGAAAAAAAAAAGATCTGTAAAGTTGCAAAGACTAAAGTCTCAAATCCAAAGAGATATTCTTTATAAAAGTTAAGAGTCAGCCACACCTACCTAAAACGGCTCGTTCTAACACGCCCCAACCTATCTACCTCACTATGTGGGAAGATTTGCATAACGCCGCCCAAATGTTCACGCAAAGAAAGAAGACCTAACTTTATTCTCGCTGTAGTTTTGTTGTTCCCGCCGCCATGTCGTAAAGATGCTGTGTGCTTACAAAATAATGTTCTTTTTAGCAGCATCATATGACCCCTTTAATATTATTTAATGTATGAAGTAAAAAAATAAGCTAGTAATATAGTAAAAATTAATAAACCCATTAGCTGGGTTAAATCAACCCATTATGATGGGTTAAATAAACAACCCAATTTGCTGGGTAAATTCAACCCAAGATGGGTTCTGTCCTATATTTACCCATCCCTTGGGTTAATAACAACGCAAATTGGGTTGTTTTTAACCCAGTGTTTTTTAGAGTGTAACGGAAACAAGGGGTGCTTCTCAATTCTTATTTGTGCATCCTCGTTTCCTTTCCTGCTTCCTTTCCTCGCATCTTAGCTCCACCCCTTCAGGATGCGAGGGAAGGATGCAAGGAAAAGACGGGAGGACGGAGGAGTTGAATCAAGTGAAATGATATAGCCTCGCTCCCTTTAGCGTCACTTCAAAGCGTCATCAGCTGCGCTAAAGGGATCTGCCCTTATGTTGTTAAAGTTTGTTATTTAAGACATTCATAATAAATATTAATAAAGCAAGATGCCCTGTTTGAAATATATGACATGTATGGTTTATTTCAACTGCAAAGGTAAAATATAAATTAAAATTATTACAACCGATGTGAAGGGGGAGGAGAATATATACGTGCGTCAGGTTTTTCGATGAAAAACACTTCCGCAAAGGATACACCTGTGTATCCTCGCTCATAGCTCCTCAGGAAGCCTCCTCACTCCTCGCGGTGCAATTAGAGAATTGAGATGTCCTACAAGATCGCTGAGCTCGATCGGTTTCCGGGGTCATAGGATGGAGGACGGAGGAGCGAGGAAACGAGGAGGGATATTGAGAAGCACCCATGGTCAAAGAACAAAAGACAGGAGATCAGGAAAACAAACGTGACAAGACTAGAATACAAAAATAACCAAGTAAATTTGTGTAAATACATAAACAAAAAAGGGTATTTATGAGTTAAAAATAGCATGCAAATCAACTGACCTAAAATTAATTGAATTAACTGCAATTCAATTAAGTTGTTTGAGGTTTTACATATATAATATAATATAATATAATATATAATAACCAAAGAAAAAAAAACAGTAATAGCAAAAATAACGAATAAATTGTTACATTTAATAATCTCCAGGGCCGCTTTTGTCACATGAATTATGTGCTAGGGGTTTGATTATGTAGGAGTGGCAAAAAGTTGTGTGTGTTGAATGTACAGTGGGGCAAAAAAGTATTTAGTCAGCCACCAATTGTGCAAGTTCTCCCACTTAAAAAGATGAGAGAGGCCTGTAATTTTCATCATAGGTATACCTCAACTATGAGAGACAAAATGAGAAAAAAAAATCTGCACTCTGCAATATGAGATATACATATCAGTATTATCTTAATTGTTTCTCCTAAACAGCATTATGATTAAATGGATATCAGATCTGATTCTCAGAAATTTATTTAGAGAAAAAGACCCTTGTTATCTCACACGGGTCTCCTCTGGCGTTTCAGAACAGATGTCAACAATGTCTGAAACTGGGCTCAGATTTGCCAAGATACCAAATTATGCAATTAAATGTCAACAACTGTCTCATTCGTGACTGTCTTAATTTGTTCTTTTAGGCGAAACTTAGTTGATACCTAAAAAAACATCCCCTATACAAGCAATACAGTTTTCCATTGCGTGCACATGCTTTTAGGACACAAGATAAAGATCCATTCTGATCTATTCCAAAGTCCCCTACCCTTAGGCAGTGCCCACAAAACAAGCCGTTCAGCAGCAAATAATTCATGCCTCAACACAGCCGTAACCACGTCCAATGTACAACCCCTCTATTCACAGTCTCCCATAAAAGGAAATGACATTCACGCCTGTCCGCAACAACGGCATGTCCACACTGACAGCAGACTGCCGAGGGGGAGAGGATGTAATCGAACGGCTCCGTGATATGGCATGGAAAAAGAGCCAGTTTATATTAAAATTGCCATCTAACCATACAGCAGAGAGTAAATAATAAACAAGACCAAACATTCTCTACCTCTTTCGTAGTGCTACTGTCTTCAGTGTTTAAAATCAGGCATCAGACAAGAAGTTAGAAACTAAAAGTTGGTAATCTGGGTGCCTATATTGATTCCTTTTTTTCAAAGATTTTAAACTTTTTAACCATTTTTAAATATATGTTGCAATATAATAATGGCTTCAGAAAGGTAACAGGATTGATGGTAACAGGGATGACAGTTTAATTTGACAGTGAAACTATATGTTTCCATTATTTATGGAAGGATTACTTTAAAAATGTTTTAAAGATTAATTTTATGACTCGGAATATATCATTTTCAATTACTAGTTGTCTACTATATATATATATATATATATATATATATATATATGCATACATACATACATACTGGTAACAGGGCTGACAGGTAATCCTGAAATGTCTAGGAATATATCCTTTTAGATTATTAGTTGTTTACTATACAAAACCATGGTAACAGGGCTGACATTTTAAGACAGTTCCCAACTAACAAATATAATTAAATTGAATATAAATTGATAAAAAGAAGACTTTAAGTTGTCCTTGTACAGCTCACTTCTTACATGGATGATGTCATTACTATTTATGTATTTATTTATTTATATAATGGTTCATTTTATTACTTTAAAAAATAAAAAAAATATATAATAGTAACAGGGTTGACAGTTAAAAAGATTAATTTGACGTAGCAAAACTACAGTATGCTTCTTACATAGAAAATTTTATCCGGAAATGTCTAGGAATACATCCTTTGCAATTATTGGTTATTTACTATACAAAATCATGGTAACAGAGTTGACATTTTAAAACAGTTCTCAACTAACATTAAACTTAGGATAAAATGATAAAATGGAGACTATAAGTTGCCCCATATAGAGCAGATAATGCAATTACAACAAAGGTTTTATTTTATTGATGGAATGGTTCATTCCATTAATTAAAAAATAACAAAATTTGTTGACATTTATACAGAAAAATTGGACGCACTGAAATTACAATATGCTTCTTATAAAGAAAATTTAATCCTGAAATGTCTATATGACGATAATGGTAAAATGACGATACCCTTTTCAATCTGTTGTTTACTATACAAAATCATGGTAATAGGGTTGACATTTTAAGACAAATTTACGACTAACAAACATAATCAAACTTTAGACAAACTAAAGATGTCCCTTGTAAAGCGCAATTCTTGAAAGAGAAAATAAATTTTTAATGGAATAGTTTATTACTTTAAAAAAAAAAAGAAAAATTATAGTGGTAACAGGGTTGATACACAACTTAAACCTTAAACTCAAACAAATAAAGCATGTTTAATAAAAACATTGTCCCATCTAAAAAAGTAAATATAAAAAAAAATGTGCATTTGCTAACATAGCAAGGAAAAATACACAGGTATTATATACACAGGTGGGGACAGGCCAAGAATGCATACTCATAATGAAAGGAAAAAGGTGAAATGTGTATTAACACAAAAATGCCACCAGTTTTGTAAAATGACCCAAATACATTCTGTGACTTTTGAAAGCACTACTGTCCTATTGACTTCTCTCTCACTCTCTTTCTCACCTGTATTGTGGCCAGGTGCTTGGTCATGGCGCAGGAAGAATCGCACCTCCGCCCTTTGCTGACCCCAGCGCTGCAGTACTTCGATAATTCGCTCGCTGTCACCAATCACACGCTCTAAAAAAGACACAACCAATAGGAAACAAGGGATGCAAATTAGGTGGCAAAGATCCATTCTAGAGTGATGCATCACTGCACTGCACCTGTCCATAGTCGCATGGACAGGTGCAGAAAGATGCATTCTATGAATTTTATTTCTTTAACAACTTTGTAAAAGAAAGAGTTCACTTCAAATAGAAAATTTTGTCTTCATCTTTATTTCTTTGGTAGAACACAAAAAGAGATATTTTTTTACAAATGTTCATGCTGCTCTTGACAAATAATGACAGAATTTAAATTGCTGGGCAAACTGTTGCTTAAAAAGTGATCCATATAAAAATAACATTTTGGAATGAACTTGCTCAACAGGCAAAAAACACAAAAGTCAGCACATACCAGATCCTCTCCACATCTCAGCCAGATAGCAGTCCACCTCCCCCGGCTCTTTACACATGTCCACCACATCTCGACACAGCGTCTCCGGCGTGATGGGAAGCTCGGTGAAGTGCTTGTCACTATTGCTGAGGTACACCGTTAGGAACATCTGAGTCAATAAAAAAAATACACAACATGGGACGTTATAACAACAGACAGAAAAAAACACTCTAGAGAATAGTTCCTCAATTAATTTTTGATTCTCTAGTTCTTAAGAAAACCATCCATGTACTTGTATTTTAAAGAAACCACACCAACATTTAATTCTGTGATCTAAAGCAGTGTTATTTTTAATATTATTTAAATCATGACAACTCTCGGAACATTTTAGCATGGTGATGGATATGACAATGTAAATGTATTTGGTCTTGGCGGAATAGATCTGCTACGCTGCTGCTGCTGAATTGCTGCTGCTGTTGGTTATTGCTGTAGTTGTAGATTATTGCTGCTGCTGCAAGCAAGTACAGGAACTTGCTACTGCCAATGCATATGGCGATACGGTGCCATGAGCATTTAAGACATACTGCTGCTGCACAAATAGCATATAAAATAACCCGTAGCAGATCTATACAGGTGGAGCTGGGGAAGGTGAAGGGTTTCAGAGAAACTCTGAAAGCGCGCTGCAGGAATCTCAAGTGAATGCTAGCCAGTCATATAAATGAATGGCAGTAAGCTCATTGGCTGCATATGCAGCATGAACCAATCAGCTTGTGCCAAGTCGTTTAACTCTCTGAATATCATCAGTTATGTTAACAACAAAATTAACAAGATTTTAATTTTGTAGCTTCAGTTTAATTTCAGTTTAGTTTTTGTTTTAGTTATTTTATGTTTATTTGTATTTTTTATGTAGTTTTATATTTTATTTGTTTAAATATTTTTATTTAGCTTTCATTCATTTTAATTTTGTAATTTGTAATTTTTATTTTGTTTTCGTTTTTGTAATTTCAGTACTTGAACCTAAACTTTTATTTCAGCTGTCAAAGCAACATATTTCTAATTTTCATATTAGTTTTAGTAATTTTAGTACATCAAAGTTTATTTCAATTAGCTGCCAATGCAAGTTTATACTTTTTTATGGTTTTCATCTAATATTTATATTTGATTTCAGCTTAGGTTTTTGTAATTTTGTTATGTGATTTTGTAATTTTTGTTGTCTTTTTATTATTTCAATTTAGCCTTTTTAATTTTAGGAATTTTAGAACACCAACTTAAAATTATACTATTTTAGTTGGCTGCCAAGTCAACATTTCTTTTTTTATTTATTTAGTTTAAGTTTTGTTATTTTCTAATTAAGTTTTTGTTCTTTTTTATTTCAGATATATTTCAATTAACAAAAAATATTTTTGTTATTTTTAGTTAACAATAACAACACTGAACTTATAATGTTACAAACAACGATTTTCTATCTCTCAAGGTCCATACAGACAACTCAAAAACCCTATACAGCTAAAAAATTGGGGCAGCTTCATTACGAATGCTCTCAATCATCCAGACTGTTTATAGATATGTGACTTCATGCCAGATGCCCACGTAATCTTATAATACAGCTGTGATTGTGGGAGAAAATGCCAAGATGAATGGATGACAGCAAAAAAAGATGCTGTATTTCTGTCTTGGCACTTTAACTGCAGCCAGCACAGATGGCTGTCACATCAAGAGGGTTCTTATCCAGAAATAAAACACAAGCATGGGGTTATTAGTCAGAAACCAAGGAGGTAATTGATTTGTAATTCCGACGTGAACAGCAGTTTTGGAAGAAAAAGACAAGGTTGTTGTCAATGTGGGTTACATCATTAATGTAAATTAATGATAAAATTAATAAGATTTTTTAATAAACATAAATAACGAGAAGATAAACTCAACATCTTAACTGATAAAGAGTAAGCATTTTTTGAAGGACAATTCTGCTAGTGTGTGTTTATTTTCAGACTATCGGTAGCAGAGTTATCACTGCTGATAGAGTGCAAAAACACTCAGCAGTTCTCTGTTACTATGTGTGTGTGTGTGTGTTTTCATGCTTTGCCAAGCGACCATGAGGTACTACTGTCACACCAGATGGGTAGAGGCAAAACTCAGCAGCTCTTCCACCTTAACCTGAGTCACACGACGGGACAAGAAACAGTGCTGCATAACAATTCCTGAACGCACATATTTTATTACACCTTTCTCTGAAATACTTGATTCTGATTGGTCAACTGCGACATTATGCAGTCAAATAAGTAATGGCCACAAATTTTTCAACTGCTTTCCCATTAACCAGTTTCTTATGTTGTATTACTTTATAGGCTCTTTCATTCATAATAAAACAATTTTAACTAAAAATACTGATTAGTTGTTTTTATTTAATTTATTTCTACTTATCGATATTTCTTTTCTATATATAAGGATCAATACAATTTTGTAAACCTAATTTTGTAAATTTTGCAACCTCAAATACACAACTTACAAAATTCCACCAGCTAAATATTGTAATGTGACATTTACTTAACTGACTAACTGAAATAAAAATTCCTTAAACTAAAATACAAATAAATGAAAGCTAAATCAAAATATTAAAAAAAAAATAACTTATATTAAAACTAAAATTAAAATAAATACTGAAAATATAAAATAAAAGCTAATTAAAAATATGTATAAATACTATAATGGTACATAAATAATATTAAAAAAAACACTGCACTAAAGTACCTGGATTTCAAGAAGGTAAATTGATATAAAATAATTTCAAATATTTGAGTCACAAAAAAAAAATTCAATGCACTAATGTTATTTTAATATTATTTTTAACATTTACATTTCCAATTTTTTTGTCTAATATAATACGTATATTTTATTCCAGCTTTATTTAAATTAACAGAAACAATGGAAACTAAAATTTGTGTAGTTTTGGTTAACAATAACGACACAAACGTTTTGCTGAACACACTTTTCTCGATTGCGATTTGGTTGTTGCTGCAGACCACCACAAACAGCTGTCATTAACATTAGTCCTAACTGATATTTTTAAAATAGCTAGACTTGTCCAAATGGTTATCAGTATTTCCTGATCTGTGCAATATCGGCGCCGTGACATTCGTGTGCCGTCACACACAGCTGTGTGAAATGGCTTTAAGAGGCTTTCACTCATTCAGTGCGCACACACTTTCACACATTCAAGTTTACTCTGGCTTTGGATGTGCACATGACTGCTAAAGCACTTGTATCCGTGCCTACTGTCATGCTGCAAGCAAGTATGAATAAATGTTTGACAAGATTCAGTCAGGAATAACTGGTTAGGCTTGTAATCCAGTAGTCTTTTAAATAATGTCCAGCTGATCCAAAAAGGTCAGTAAAAATGAGGCCTTTTAAAGACTGAGGATCGCCACCACAATGGTTGCAAATGACAATAAAGTCTTCAAAATTTCATCAAATAGAATAAAATTAAAAAGGGTAATCACTGTCAACATTAAAGGGATAGTTCACCCAAAAATAAAAATTCTGTCATTAATTACTCACTCTCATGTCGTTACAAACCCGTAAGACCTTCGTTCATCTTCAGAACACAAATTAAGATATTTTGATCAAATCCGAGAGCTTTCTGAGCCTGCATAGACAGCAACGAAACGGACATGTTCAAGGTCCAGAAAGGTAGTAAGGACATTGTTAAAATAGACCATGATTTTGTCTATATCAAGAAAATCAACAATTTGGCAACCAAATATTTCGTTTATTTAAGGAAATTGTTGTTAAGCTCTTAAAAATAAAGATTCTTCACTTTGAAAATTAAAGGTTTCAATGTATTTTCACATTAATGCCACAGAAGAACCATTTTAGGTTCCACAAAGAACCTTTCAGTAGACAGTTGTCAAAAGAACCATTTTTTTTTCTTCTTCTTTTTTCTTAGTGTGAAGAACATTTGAATCATATGAAGAATGTTTTTTTTCCACTATAAAGAATCTTTTGTGGAATGGAAAGGTTCCACAGTTGTTAAATGTTCTTCATGGAACCATCAATGCCAATAAAGAACTTTTATTTTTATGAGTGTTTATTGGAATCCATGCTTCCATGAAGAACCTTTAACATCCATTGAAACTTTCCATTTCACAAAGGTAAAATGGTTCTTTTGGAAGGTTCTTTGAAGAGCCTAAAATGGTTCTTCTATGGCACTGCTGTGAAAAACTCCTTTTTGGAAGCTTTATTCTTAGGAGTGTAGACCGTAGCCCTTCTGTTTAAGTTAGATGGATGATTTTATTTCTCTCAGACCATTCTGTCTGAATCTCTTGGGCTGACCAATGAAAGCCTTAATTAGATGAATGACCCTCGCTGGAAATGGAATTTCATTAATCTCCCTTTAATGTATATCTTCCTCTAATGTCCTTACATTATATGTCTAAAATCAAGCTAAACACTAACCCCATTTGTCTCTGGGTTATGGTTTATAAGATGAGCTCTTAAAAGATCTAAATTGAATTATGGATGGAGCATATTGCCTCATGTCTACATACAAACCGCAGACCTCTTATGTAGTATTTTCCTTTTTGGAGATGTTAATTCTTTATTGAACGCATATGGTGGTAAATTCTTCCTATGGTGATATAAGTGTGTCTTGGAAGCCATTGCAAAAAAAAATGCTAAAATGTTCAAATTAAACATTTATTTTCGCCATCGTCATATTTCCATGACATACCAAATAGCTGATGCGGCTATTTTCCAAATTTCAGATACAATGCTACAATGTATTTTGGTCTCCCGTCATCAATGATTTTAAGTAGGGCATGTGTCTAAAAGTCTGGCTTTTGAATCCGCATTTGTGTCCATAGTACGTTAAATCCTAGAGAGATCGCACACAGAAAAGCCCTTGTGCTGAAAGCCAGCCCGCGGCGGTGATCCCACACTTGATCCCGGAGTAATATTTCTGAGAAATCTTAAGTGACATAATGCTGTCCTATGGCATGGGACAAAGCTTTAGGATTACTGTAATAAAGCACTAGTTTGCAACAGGACACTGTTTATGTTTCCACAGGTAACCACATGTGATGTAATGGATTTGAATAGTCAAACATACTGGCATTTACCATCAGCTGACAAGCACTAAACTCTCACTGAATTTCCTGGAGAACTCATTTGTCTCTGAGTTTAAGGTTAAGTTAAGTTTAAAGTTAAGTTTGAGTCATTTCCTCACTTTTTACACACAAAATAAGATAATTAAAAGTGTGTTTTAACTGTTTTTGTCCATACAATGAAAGTAAAACACTGGACCCAACTGACTTTCATTGTATGGACATAAAAACACTTGGAAATTGTATGCTGGTTGATGTTGGTCTATGTCTGATCTGAAGACAGGTTAAGCTGGTAGTTGGTTAAGCTAGTTTAAGAAGACAAACACAACATATGTTGTTACCCATCCATGCTGAACTCTCAGCATCTAGAGTTTCTTATCTCCCGTTAATACTATGACATAGTTTCTCTAACTGATCGGATTTTATTTATACTTTTATGTGTTCCCTACACATTTCCATCATGAATGCATTCAGTATGTGGCCCAGTTCATTGGGTCATTTTGAGTGGACAAGGAAAAAGTACACCCTTGCTATTCAAAGTCAAGGGGCGTAGCCTCTGGCAACTTTGCATTTCGTGCATCAAATGAATAAACATTAAACAAAAGGTTTGATGACTAAAACCATGCCTTTGTCAACAGTCCATTTTCAACAGAGTGCACAGCTTTGACGTAATGATATTCAGGTTAACGCCTACAATCATTAACCCTAAAGAGTCTCAAAACTAACCAAGCCGCAAAACCTCATAAATTGCATGGCATTTGCAAAATGTTTCCATAATAGGAAGCATTCTTAATTATTTTTCCTGTTGTCGAATGTTGAAAACAGTAGACGCATTGTTCAACTCAGATGGATAACCAATGACATCGTCTGTTCTGCAACATACAATATTTAGTGCCCGTACCACATGGTTTTCATTAACTGTAAAGGTTCATTGCCTTGACTATTGGAGCTTGTGCAAAGGTGGGCAGAAATCACATTCGACTGGATGAATGAAAGCAGTCAGCCACAAAGTCGAAGAAAATTTACTAGCCTATACCTACACAAAGAGGTAATCCAACGCATGCTGAGAGCATCAATTATTCAGTCTGATCACTACAAGAGCATCTGTAAATACATGCTCTGATCGGACAACACTTATGTGGGTTTATTTAGGCTCTCATGTGTTGTTAGGAAGTAGCTGCTCGTTGCTTTTGTAAGTCACAGGACAGAACTCGCAGATTCAGCAGGCTGTCAGCCCGCAGTGTGTGTGCGCGCGTATACGGGCACAGAATCAGCCATATGGCCCCTGCAGTGGATTGACACAAAGCACGACTAATGTGAGGATTAGCCTTGAGTTCATACACTACCCTCCTGCCCACACCATGACCCTCCGAAACCCTTCGGCTACCGGGAGAATAAAGTTGATTGAATAAAAATGTTGAAGCTTCAAAAATATAGAGTCGACTCACTCAAGGTCCTTGATGGTTTAATTTAAAATAAAGAACAGTTGAGCCAACTGCATATGTCCTCTGTTCAGCAGTACAGACCCTGCTTATTGTAGCTAGAAATAGCTTAAAGGTCAAAGTTAAAACATTCCGAGTGCCTGATTACCGGCTGGTCCTTGGGAGCCGGGTTTTCCAAACACAGACTCCTCTGCATAGCAGCAATGTTGTGGTCTGGAATGTGATCTTGGCAACGGTTGCCGTGGCAACCGGCCGCCGCAATTCTGGTCATTGTTTCCCGCTGAGGCCTCAGGTGGCTGAAAGGGCCTGACAACAATCAGCAATATTTATAACTCCTAATGCACAGCCTTTGAACTGAAGTGGGCTACAGAATTAAATTACTACAAACTAATCTTATTCCACAAGTGCTCCCGGACCAAGTCATCTATTCGCCTGTCAAATCAATTTAGAGTCTTGAAAATAGCTGCTCTGGGTACTTACGCTATGGGAATTGCACAAAATACATGACCACACGAAGACCCTACAATACCTTTCAACAGGGGGAAGCTATGCGACCAAAATCAACTTCCTCTAGGGGAACTCTAAACAATGCCTTGATATTCTGAATGCAGTTTTAGTGCAAACCGCAACAAGGACAATGCAGGTTCGTTCTGTTAAATGTCACACTGAGAGGAATATCCCACTTCTACTTTTTTCAAACACAATTGTTGTTTCTTTGAGAATTAAGGGAGCTAGTAATTCACAGGAAAAACAATGAACTCAGCGTCTGAGGTACGAAATGATTTATGGAACAAAGAACACAGTCAGTATTCAGACAATTCTCAATGCTGAAAGAATACGCTTCATCACAAAGCTCAAAAACACTGTGGTTCTCTCAAACACAGAGTATGCCCTCAAACAGCTGCTTTACCTTTCTGGAGATTATCTATGATCTTAAACTGACCATGACTCAAACTGAAATGATGATCCATTAAGACAAATATTTATTTGCAAGCTAAATATACAATGCTGTTGTATTCGCCTCAAACACACACGCCAGTGCTACTGTACTGTATATATAAACACTAAAAGAGTAAAAATACTAAATTTTGTAGGTTTCAATTTCCATTGAAACAATACCTAGAAATTAAAATGCCTAAAGTTGTTGTCTCTGCAGGCCATTCATTTCATTTTTCACATTTGTAAATCCGTAAAATGAAAGCTCAGAATGTCTCATTTGAGTTTATACACAGGGATTATAATTTACATTAACGCAGAAAAGCTATAAATCCATGGATACTACTGATGGTTCATCCAGATTGAAGGCGGACATCTGGTGACAAAGCCGGTGGAGATTAAGGACTTGCTTGAAAATGAACCTTCAGATCAACGAATTTTACCCAGGACTGGATGTTTATTAGAAATGTACTACAATGAAAAGGTCAAAAAGACAAATGGCTCGATCATATGTTTTTACTGTGGGGTGTATGAATGTGTGACTCACCAACACCACGAGTGACTCACTCATATGATTAGTGACAGGAAAGAGACAGCAGGCATATCGCACACTAAAGACTATATACGTATAATCTCAAATACTATGTTAACATCAAATGACTCTAACATTTCTAAGCTTTCTATGTAGCAAATAACATCTTATAGGGTCTGGCACGTAAATTATATTGTGTCACATTATTGAATATTTGGTTACGTTCTGTGTTTATAATGTAATATTTCATTTTGTACATTCTCTGGCACCTTATTTAACCCAAGGAACAGCAGAATGACTTCAGCTCTAGTTGAAATTTAGGTGTCTACATAAAATCGTTCTTCATTTCACCCTTCCTTGCATTTCTTGATCAATTTCAACACCTGTGCTGAGGTTGTTAAAACATCTAAGGAATCATTTACTGGAATTAATTAAAAGATACACAATGTTCTGGATCATTCTGTGTTTGTTATCAGAAAGCAAGATATGAAATCTAAACAAGAAAACAGGTAATTCAACCCCTACCTCCTATTTATTTTATAGAATCCCCTTTATCACCATAACACTGCTTCCTAGAAATATATCTAGTCCATCTGATACAATCAAAGCTGCTTGGATGAACACAAGAAGTGACATCTTACCAATGCATTTGTTGAGTTCATCAATGACAAGGAAGCACTGGTGATGTTTGGAGGTGAAAATTAATGTATAGCAGCGTATTATACACTTAATCTCGACTGAACTTACCGGCATCATATTGAAAAAGACCTCTAGATATTCGGTATTCCTTATACTGAAGAATATAAGACCTTTCCCTGGTCTCCCAAGAAGTGTTTCTTATTGTTGTTTTATATGCAGGTAAATTATGCACGTATTATCCTCTTCTTTTACGTATCATTATTTTAGATTAGTCTCCTCAGATATTGTTCGACAACTTTGTAGCGTTGGTTTATTATAGAAACCTGTTGCAGAATGAACCCGAGATGAACTCGGTAAATACAGTAAAGTTACTTATACGAATCGCTCAGACGTAGGGAACCGCAGACCACCGATCACACCGAACCATTTGTGTAACGTTACGCAGCGATTCGCCGCCGCTGTACAACAGAAGCGAAATAAAGATAACGGTCGTCCGCGAACGTATCAGCTACTGTCCGCTAAGCTGATTGCAGGTCTACATTATATCCGTGCGAGCGAGTTTTTTCGCTGGATCAACAAACGCAACCCAACCCATAGATGACGCTGGGCGAGATCCCGAATATCCCCGGCGCGTGCGTGACAAACTCCGCCTCGCGCCACCCGCGCGCTTCCCGCCCACTTCATCATCGTTATCTCTGAGGAGGCGTTCGCGTACAACTAAGAAACGGTTTGAAGATTTTATATGGCTTTGTCTTATTTAACGTGCCTCACACTCTTTAGAAGCTTTTGAGATGAATATTGAGGAATATGACCTGTTAGTAATATTGAAAGCGATAAAAGGAAGACCTTTGCTGTCGGTACAATATTCGTTTTTTTTCCCCTCATATAGATTCATTGTACGATTACATAAACTGTAACTAACAAAAACTTATAAAATGCTATCGAAACGTTAAGAAATACTCATAATAGATTAGACATGACCAGGTATTGAACACTGACAATCAAGTGATAGGTTGGGGACAATGTTATGGCAGGTTCCGTACGTTCTAGATTAATGATGTTTGGCTCAGATTTACAGGGTTTTGGCTGTAAAAATGCCTCTGCTGAATGAACATAATAGATTTCAGTGCAATTTCCAAAGTAAAAGCTGTCAAAAGGTTGTTCAGGATGTAGGACATACTTAATCTGTTTCTTTTCAGTACCTTTGTTTTTTGTGCTTACATTTGTGTGTGTGTGTTCATTCTGTCCTCTACTGGACAAGAGCAGTTATGACAGATGCCTAACCACTCCCCAAAGTAAGGTTCCACCCTGTTAGTCAATATCCATGGACAACACATCTCTGACAGACATTGCTGATCTAGGATCAGGCTGGACCTGTCCTTTGTTACTTCACTTTAAAATACAAAACAGAGCCAGAAACTGCAGTTCTAGTTTGACAGTCACCAGGGGGTATGACATCAGACCTTATTTAGTGTCTGCTTCAGACAGGGCGCTGTATGTTGTGACGAATGGTCTGGTCTGGGGTGAGGCAGGTGGAGGGATGTGTTTTTGACTACCACCAGATGACACTTGTCCCTGAATGTCCCAAAAACACACAAACAACCTCTGAAGGCTTTAAGTAATTTTAAAGGAATAATGCATATTGTTGATATCTTTGTTCATTTGCAGCGGACATATTGTAGTATCATTACTGAAATCCACATTTGCAAACATTTAGTTTTTTTTTATATCACAGATTTTTTCATAGATTTCAATGGATCAAAATGCATTTATACTTTAATTACAATTATATTAATTGCACATGACCTTAAAAAAACCTTTTTATTAATTAAATGTTTTATGTATTAATTAACTGCTTTATGTAATGTTTTGTAGACATACAAATTATATTTACTTCTAGGGTCAGAAAGTTAGCATGAAAGTGCTAAATGGATAAATAATCATATTATATTAATATATAAATACATTTTTAATGAAAATGTTTTTTGAAACGAGATGATGAGTCAGACAAGCAGCCAGCAAGTGCCCTGCAGCATCCTATTCAATACTCTTAAGGTAAGTTTTGATTTATATATATATATATATATATACATATATAATATATATATAAATCATGTATAGAAAATAATATTTTTTTTCAGCATCAGCTTAACAATTTATTTTATGAAATATATTACACTGTCAAAATATATACTAAAATAATCTTTCCTTATGTGTGGATAAAACAGGAAATTACGCTATTTATTACAGTCCACTACATCTTAGTGTTTAAATCAAGATTCTGTAATGTATTGTTTTTTCACTAGATGGCGCTATGAAGAAGCATTTACTACAGGGGAATGGGACAGCGCTTCTTTTCGTGAGGCAGTGAACATGTGGTCATGGTTGCATGCCATGTGCAGTAGCTCACTGCTTCTCTTAAACTGTAATGTGCCATTATCTTCCACGCAAATTTGTATTTACTAAGTTTGAGACTGCTTGCGATTGCTTGAGTATGTGAAGCCCAAGGAACTTGCTACACTACTCTGGTGCGTACATGCTTTAAAACAGTATGAATATTTTCTTCATCATTTACACGTTACATGTTTCATAATTTCAACGAACTCTGTAGACATGAATGCATTTATTCTATAACCAGAAATGTATTATCAGGAGTGCAAAGCAGAGTTATCCTTTCTAAAGAAAAAGTGTCACCCCAGTTTCCACAGAGCGTGAACCACTGCCCATTGTGCTTGGTGTGTTTGTGGTGTGTGTGTGTGTGAGGGAGGGAGTGTCTTTTTATAAACCCAAAAAACTCATTATAGTTTATGATGTGCACAAGAAAAATGTCCAAGTCAATGATGTGAATGAATGACTTGAATGCTTGACATCATATATGTTTCCTGATGCACGTTTTGTCTGTTGCCACAGGGAGAGGACAGCAGAGGAGAAAAACAGAGCAAGGGAAGCGAAAAATAATAGGAGTGTGCTTCTTGTGCTGTTTAATCTCCAGACAGTCCCTAATTTCTCTAATTATCAAGCTGCTAAGCAAACAGAGGCAAGCAGGCAGGAATTGGCCGTCTCCTGCGGCTTACACTTCGGGGGGTCGTGTCTAATTTGAGGGAAGACCCGGTCCATCTCTTGCATGAACACATCTAGGGCTAACACACCCCAACCAGTGCTGCCCCTCCCTGTCGACCCTACCCACACGCACCAGCTTTATGGCAGATGGCGTAGTTCACCCTCCCTCTGAACCTCCATTCCACCCCCACCCTCGGCAGCTTTTGTGCCCCTGTGCGTGCAGTGTTAGGGGGCTGCGACAACAACAGCCCTCCCCACTGCTTCCACCCGCCCTGGCCCTATTGTAAGCAGAATTCAGGCTTCATGCATGGCGCCACGATCAGGTGCCCTAACAGGGTTGTCAGCACCCGCAAAATCGTTTTAATCCCAGTGGTTGCGCATCAGGGCCACTGGAGTTTGTAGTACTTTCCTGACACACTTTACCGGGTTTGATCCCTAACTATTGCCAGAATCATAGGAACATTCTAAAGGCCTGTCACAGTTTGTCGCAGAACTGAATGTTTTCAATAACTTACTATTGACTTCTTTGCTTAACTGTTGAGTATAGAGATGGTTGCACAAAGTCATAAGTTACCAAATTCTACTTACCAGTGCTTCCACTGAAGCCTCTTTGGTTTGGTTCCTTTGCCAGGGTTCATTGATAGCTCTTCACCACAGCTACATACCTGATCTAGGTCGTGCATCAGGCAAAGACTCTGCTTGTACAAGGGTGTTGAGCTGTAAAAACCTTAAGCAAGGTCAGAAGTTAAACAATTATACTCACTAGAGGCTTTGACCAGTGTAACTGAGGCTTTGACCATTGTTGTCTCTTCGCCAGGGTTTGTTCCTTTTTGTAGCTAAACAATTGATAAAAACAGCAAATATGGGCAAAGATTCTGCTTGGTCATGAGTGTTATGTAACTGCTAAGGGACTTCTGTTTCCCTGAGGTTATCTCCATGACAACAGGGTTCAAGTCTCTTGGGACTTTTGGCACACGCGACCCTTCTGCGGGGCAAGACCCCTGGGGTGTGGGGGTAGGGACACGTGTGGGTTAAAGGTCGCTGGACACTGTGGACACTGAAAGCGAATTGGGACAGGGTTATTGTGACACGGGCTGAGGTCGCCTCAGAAAATGCCTCGCATCCATAGCATTAGTTGCGGTCAAAGAAGTCCTTTCTGGCCATCAAAACCGTGATGACCCTTGGAGCGGATGGCACACGCCACCAATTTAATCTTATAGACAACTAACTCACAATCCTGTTTCACCCTTAGTTTGGCTAGTTTCTTTCTTGAATAAATCTATGATCTTCTTATGCCAAGTAGGTGAATCTTTGCTTATGTTGCATTCTACTGCCCCTGG